GGCTTAGAAGATCTATCTCCGCTTTGGGTTTCTGAAACTGGTCATGTCTAGACAACAGGTTGTAGAATGTTGTAGAGTCAGCAGGTAGGATGTTGAAATTCAGTTGAGGGATTGTGCAAGTATACAAAATCTTCATCAAGTGGGAGGAAGCTCACACTTAGAGCATCCATCTCTCTCATTATGAAGTTATCCCAAAACTACTTTTTTCTGCAGGATGAAGGCTTGGAAGCGGAAAGCAAAGTTGAAATGAGCTTCAAGTCTCAGGTTTCGTCGAGTAGACGGGTTCACCAAGGTTCTCGAATAGGGGGGTAAGCCCCACACTTAGAAGATCTATCTCCGCTTTGGGTTCCTGAAACTGCTCATGTCTAGACAAGAGGTTTTAGAGTCAGCAGGAGTTGAAATGAAAGAAAGAGCTGTAGGATGTTGAAATTCAGTTGAAAGATTGTGCAAGTATACAACATGGAATATTTTTTTTTATAATGGGGTTATTCCCAGACCACCCTGTTTCTTCAGGATGAAGGGTTGGAAGCGGAAAGTAAAGTTGAAATAAGTTTCAAGTCTCAGGTTTCGTAGAGTAGACGGGTTCACCAAGGTTCTCAGATAGGTGGGGGAAGCCCCACACTTAGAACATCTAATTATTTATTTCCTCTTCGGGTTCTGAAGTTGTCCATGTCTAGAAAAAGAAATTTAGAGTCAGCAGGCGTTGAAATGAAAGAAAGAGCTGTAGGATGTTGAAATCATTTCAGGGATTCGGCAAATATACAAAATCAGCATCAGGTGGGGGAAGGCTCGCACTTAGAACATCTCTCTCAGAATGAAGCTATCCCAAAACAACTTTTTTCTTCAGGGTGAAGGGTTGGAAGCGGAAAGTAAAGTTGAAATAAGCTTCAAGCCTCAGTTCTCCTAGAGTAGACGGGCTCACCAAGGTTCTCCAATAGGTGGGGTAAGCCCCGCACTTAGAAGATCTATGTCCGCTTTGGGTTCCTGAAACTGTTCATGTCTAGGCAAAAGGTTTTAGAGTCAGCAGGAATTGAAATGAAAGAAAGAGCTGTAGGATGTTTAAATTCAGTTAAGGCATTGTGCAAGTATACAAATTTAGCATCAGGTGGGGGGAAGCTCACGCATGGAACATCTCTCCCACCACTGTTTCTTCAGGGTGAAGGGTTGGAAGCGGAAAGTAAAGTTGAAATAAGTTTCAAGTCTCAGGTTTCGCAGAGTAGACGGGTTCACCAAGGTTCTCCAATAGGAGGGGGAAGCCCCGCACTTAGAACATCTATCTCCCCTTTGGGTTCCTGAAAGTGTTCATGTCTAGACAAACAAATTTAGAGTCAGCAGGATTTGAAATGAAAGAAGGAGCTGTAGGATATTGAAGTTCAGCTGAGGGATTGGCAAGTATACAAAATCTGCATCAAGCTGGGGGAAGCTCACACTTAGAGCATCCATCTCTCTCACTATGAAGTTGTCCCAAAACAACTTTTTTCTGCAGGATGAAGGCTTGGAAGCGGAAAGCAAAGTTGAAATGAGCTTCAAGTCTCAGGTTTCGTCGAGTAGACGGGTTCACCAAGGTTCTCGAATAGGGGGGTAAGCCCCACACTTAGAAGATCTATCTCCGCTTTGGGTTCCTGAAACTGCTCATGTCTAGACAAGAGGTTTTAGAGTCAGCAGGAGTTGAAATGAAAGAAAGAGCTGTAGGATGTTGAAATTCAGTTAAGGCATTGTGCAAGTATGCAACTTTAGCATCAGGTAGGGGGAAGCTCATACCTAGAACATCTCCCTCACCATGAGGTTATCCCATGACCATTCTGTTTCTTCAGGCTAAAGGTTTGGAAGTGGAAAGTGAAGTTGAAATAATTGCCAAGTCTCAGGTTTCGTAGAGTAGACGGGTTCACCGAGGTTCTCAGACAGGGGGGGAAGCCCCACACTTAGAACATCTATTTATTTCCCCTTCGGGTTCCTGAAGTTGTCCATGCCTAGAAAAAAACAAATTTAGAGTCAGCATGAGTTGAAATGAAAGAAAGAGCTGTAGGATGTTGAAATCATTTCAGGGATTGGGCAAATATACAAAATCAGCACCAGGTGGGGGAAAGCTCACACATAGAACATCTCTGTCAGAATGAAGTTATCACAAAACAACTTTTTTCTTCAGGGTGAACGGTTGGAAGCGGAAAGTAAAGTTGAAATAAGCTTCAAGCCTCAGTTCTCGTAGAGTAGACGGGTTCACCAAGGTTCTCCAATAGGTGGGGTAAGCCCCGCACTTAAAAGATCTATCTCCGCTTTGGGTTGCTTGAACTGTTCATGTGAAGACAAAAGGTTTTTGAGTCAGCAGGAGTTGAAATGAAAGAAAGAGCTGTAGGACCCCCGTCGGGGGTACCTAAATAGAATGAGGGGGCTGGAGCCCCTTTTAAAATAAAAAATAAAAATTAAATGAAATTAAAATGGGTCAGACCCCAGCATTTTATTTTGTGGGTGCATTTTATTTTTTGAGGTGCCTAACCCATCAAGTTAACTGACAGAGATAGCATGATAGCAAAGCTGCACAGCTGTGAACGGTCTGATCATTTTGTGAAACATTCCAGAGATTTGGAATTACTTGGACATTAACTTCGAAAATGGGTTGGCCCCCCTCATTTTCTGGCCCCCCTCATTTTCTATTGCCTTCCTTGGTCAACAAAAGACACACGGGCAGCTTACAGCAGCCAATGAGATTTCAGTTATTTGTATCTTTTCTAGAAACCGTCCAGATGTCAGAAGTGGAACCAATTATATATATATATATTATATTGATCGAAATCCGCGCAATTTTTCCTTCCTGTTGGCACGTGAAAAGGCTAAACAAGACTGAACAAAACTAAAAAAGATCAACCAATCAAATAAGGAAACAATGTAAAGGACTAAACAAGACTAAGCAAGACTAAACATGGTTAAAACCAATCAAATAAGGAAACAAGACAAAACAAGATCAACCCAAAAGAAAATGCCGGAACCCGAGGTCCAACAGTTGCATAACGTAGGTCCAACAGTGGCCAGGTGGAGGGTGCCTGACCTGACGTCATTTTCTTTTTGTACCTGTCCATTGTATTTTGCTTGGGTTTTCCTATCTTACCATATGCCCTCTCATTTTATTCTCATTTTGTCCTTAGGCCCCTGCATTTTATTTTATTTTTTTAGGGGTTCCACCCCCCTGGCAACAGACGAGGGTCTGTAGGATGTTGAAATTCAGTTAAGGCATTGTGCAAGTATACAACTTTGGCATCAGGTGGGGGGAAGCTCACGCATGGAACATCTCTCCCACCACTGTTTCTTCAGGGTGAAGGGTTGGAAGCGGAAAGTAAAGTTGAAATAAGTTTCAAGCTTCAGGTCTCGTAGAGTAGACGGGTTCACCAAGGTTCTCGAATAGGTGGGGGAAGCCCCGCACTTAGAACATCTATCCACCCTTGGGTTCCTGAAACTGTTCATGTCTATACAGAAGGCTTGCGAGCCAGCAGGATTTGAAATGAAAGAAAGAGCTGTAGGATGTTGAAATTCAGTTAAGGGATTGTGCAAGTCTACAAATTCAGCATCAGGTGGGAGGAAGCTTCCTCAATTGCAGCTAGTCCCACAGATGAATACAGGACTCTCACAAATAAATTAAATAAGTGAATAAATCTCTAAATGGATAAACAATAATACGTAAGTGACTAAGTGTCTGTGTATATGTGTATATTTATATTAATATTACAGTTTTATTTATTAATCAGTACTATTTTTGTTTTCAATGCAAATAGATAAAGCAAGTTCTATGCGTGAGGCCTTGCCCCGGGTCCCATGGTAGCATTTCAAAGGCATTCACTCAGTAGAGAATAGCATGGACAGCAAACACAAGAATGTTGAGCGAGCCGTTCTTTAAGTGATATTATGTGTTGGGAGCCAGGGTCAGTTGCTAGAGCCTCACACTTAGAACATCAATCAACCTACATATAGGGTGTTCTAACTGTTTGTTCTCTGGATGTTCTAAGTGTGGGGGTTGTTTTATGTTCTAAGTGTGGGACTCGAAAATTTGGGAAGTTTGACGTTCTACGTGATTGTCCGGCACTGAATATACATACATACATACATACATACATACATACATACATACATACATACATACATACATACATACATACATTTAATGGATGTAATATTTTGAAGAAAATGATAGATCAGGTGAGTATAGGTGAGTAGTTCGGATGCCACTAGAATCGTTTGTAATGAAAGTCTGCACCTCCCAGCAAGATACTTCAAGTGGCTTGTGTCGCGCGTGCGAGGATCCCTGTCACTCCCAGACGGCAAAAATCAAAACCAGTGATCTCACCTCAAGGTGACTTGCAGGACTGCCACTACCATTATTGGACTCACCCGTTTGACACACATGGCAGTGGCATGCTATCACCATTTGTGGAATTTGGATAGCTTCTGAATGTGTCTGATGTTGGCAAATCTGGAAACAAGGGCACATTGGCGCGGAGATGCACGGGGTCTTGATCCTAATGGTGGGACAGCCATCAAAGTTTCAGCTGGAGCTGGTCAGCTGGTTGCGCTCAGGAGTTTCCCTTTGACAATGCGACCTGCGCGCCCCCGGAGCCAGCTGCATCATTCTCACCTTCGCAGGTACTTTTCTGCGAAGATGACAGCATGGGCTCGAAGATTGCCAGACGCATGGCTGAACAATGTTCAACACGTTGGCCGCAGCCAGCAATAGTTCCCCGTAAGAATAGTCGTAGATGCAACTTTTCGAATTCCTTCAGCTGCTGTTTCCGATTCGCTACCTTTGTCATAACGACCAGTTCATGACGTAAAAATGTTTATCAAACATTTTGGCTGGTAGTTGTGCTTCAAGGATCTTCGGGCATGCTGTTCCATCCCAACAGCAAATCGTGGGACATAACATGAATATACATTAATTAAAATTATGACATGGATTCCGGTATGGATTCCAATGATTCGTGGCATGTTACGATCGCAACATGATGTTCCAAAGCATGGAGGAAGAGGACGCTGCAGCAGCCTCTGCAGCCAGGAAACGGAGAACGGAACAAATGTTTCGAAGAATGAACAGCGCGACGCCCGGCAAGGAATGCGTTGAACGCACGGCATTTGGTCTCTTTCAGGACACAGGCCACGAGTATCCATAAGTTACAACGGCCATGATATGCAACATGCAATAACCATCATAGTGTCGTCGGTTCAGAAAAAGGAGGAAACAGTTGGAAACTGGTCGCCAAACCACGGTCCACGCTCCACTGGATGAGCATAGGCTATTGTAGGCTGTCAGAACATGTCAGAAATAAAAGCCCAGGGCCCCAGGGCACCACTGATTTCGTCCATGCAGCACACCACCCCATGTCGAGATTGCCAACAAAACAATACAATACCCAATTTTTTGGTAACATTCCTAGAGCGATGACTGGCTGTCCTGTTCATCATATTCTATAAGGACCCAATCAGAAATATCGACTCCAGCTACAGACAAGCGCTTCAAGCTGGCAACTGTCGTGCGCAGCTCCTCGGCTAAAGGAGCAGATGTGACTAGGACGGGTCCAGCATTGCAATCTTCCCGCGTTTGAATCGGCTGGGGTTGTTTTGCCAGTCTGGTCCACAATCTTTGACCCACTATCGAAGGAAGTTTCGAAGTCAAACTTCCGACAATTTGAAAAGCAGAGGTGGGAAGAATCAGAGAAGAGAAGAGAAGAAGAAAGAAGATCAGAGAAGAGAAAGAGTCAGAAGATGTCAGAAGAAAGAAGTTGCAGGTGCGAAAAGGTACAAAGTCGCGATCCACTGAGTTTTTCCTTTGGGGCTCCGGAGGGTCGAAAAGTCTCGCCAAAGCGGCGGGTGCGGAGCCACCTGGCGAGATGAGAGATGACAAATTGCACGCCGCTGTGGCGCAAAGCAGATTTCGAAGTTAAAAAGCTAAAGACAACGCACGTCCGGAGCGCTTTTGGAAGTTGCCCAAAAGATCAAGTTAGGCAATTTCGTGCCTAATAGTTAGTTCCTTATTTCCTAGTTAGGTAGGTAATTTTAAAGGTAAACATGTAACCTAATTTGAAGGTAATTCGGCACGTGGGGTTGAAAGTTTGCGTTCAAACTTGCGAGGGGAGGTTGAAAGTTTGCGCGCAAACTTGCGAGGCGGGTTTGAAATTTTGGGCGAAAACGTGCGAGGCGGGGTTGAAAGTTTGCAAGCAAATTTGCGCCCTTGGACACGCACGCAAGCATTTGCAGGCACATGGTGGTGCAAGTTTACACTCAAACTTGCGAGGGGGGTTGAAAGTTTGCCTGCAAACTTGCGAGGGGAGGTTGAAAGTTTGCATGCAAACTTGCGAGGCGGGGTTGAAAGTTTGCGTGCAAACTTTCGTTGAAAGTTAGGTTAGTTAAGGCAAGAAAAATAGACTAATTTAGGTAAGGGAAAAATAAACTACTATATTATATAATAGGTAATTTTTTTTTCTAAGATAAGGAATTGCCTAACCTGATCTATTGGGTGAGATGTCGAAAAAGTGCACGCCGTTGTGGCGCGAAGCACATGTCGAAGTCAAAATGCGCAAAACACCCCACGTTCGGGCCACTTTTGGACGTTGAAGCGTCGTTTTGTGTGGCAGGCGCATGGGATTCTGCACCCTGCCAAAAGTGAGGCAGGCGTGGGACATTTGAGGAGAATCTGCAAAGATGCAATTTGCAGGGCAGGCGCAGTACAAGAGACATGTTCAGCGGACATGTTCAGACGTCAGGGTGCTGATTTCCATGTGTGGGGTTGCATTTTGGAGCATCAGATCTTCAGGTTTGCTAAGATGATTTTGTGTGACGGGTGCCCTTCGTACGACCTGGCTTCATTTTTTCGTGGCACGCAGTACTTTGGACAGATGGAATGGAAAAATCGCAAAACACATTGTTACGAGGCCGTCAGCTCCGCGCTCAAGTTTCCAGTTTTGAAGGAAGTCTCACAGAATTGCTTCGTTTTTGATGTTTTCAATTTGGAAAATTGAGGAAGTCCCGCAGAATTGCTTCGGTTTTGACGTTGCCAAGTTCAAAAATTGAGGAAGTCTCGCAGACTTGCTTTGTTTTTAACCTTGTCAAGTTCAAAAATCGAGGAAGTCGCGCAGAATTGCTGCGTTTTTGATGTACGGTATGTTCAAAAATTGAGATTTCCCGCAGAATAGCTGCGTTTTCAAGCTTGCAGGCAGGAAGACAGACAGACAGACAGACAGGCATATTACAGCATATAACTAATAGAGAGAGAGATATATATAGATAGATAGATAGATAGATTGATTGATAAATAGACAACTACAGCTACCACTACCACTACACTACACTACAATACTACAGCTACAACTACAAATGCATTATTCTATATTATACTACATTACACTACACTAATTACACTACACTACGCTGCACTACACTATAGCACACTACAGTACATTACACTACATTACGCTACACTAATTGCACCACACCACAACTACAACTGCAACTGCGACTACAGTACCCTAATTCCATTACACTATACAGCTACAACTCCACTACGCTACAACTACAACAGTACTACACCACACTACATCCAGCAGTTGTGGGTGAGGTGACCGCTGCAACCAACCAATTTCGGTCCATCAATGGATTCGCTCTGCCACCCATGCATCACAACAACTCCCCTCTCCTATAACGTCCCTCTTGAAACTTCCGCCACTGCCTTGTGCGGTACTACTGGTATGCATGGTCTATCAGAAAACTTTTTAATGTCGAGAAAGATGCCACTGGCAACCTGACTTATTTGAGGTAGCGCATTTGAAAGCACAGCTGCAATTCTGATCATCACGAATGCTATTTTTATCGGCATGGAGGCAGGCGGCCAGAACTAATATCCTTGAGTGCCCTTTTTGCACCGAGGCTATCCGGAGCTAGTTTGGGGTTGGTGTAATTATCATTTATGCATTTTGACGGGTTTTGGAGATTCTGACGCCATATGATCATATTCCATCAGTTGCGTTGATCGCGGTGCAACACATATGGTTTTGCAATCACCCATCAGGGATTTGTGCCCCTGAGCTTGTCGCAAACATGCTGCCTACCTGTCAGATCGAGATCTCAGCCCGCTTCCCCAACCAGGGCATGCCCCTTGCTATCCAGGCACGTCCCTCCTTCTTTTGCCTGAGTTTGTTAAATGTTTCCATTGCATCCGAAAACCATGAAGACATTACAAACCACATTAAATTACATTCTTTAAGACAATATAATATACGCCGATTCGTGAAGGCCAAGCTGCCGTTTGACTAGGGTGACTGGCGTAGTCTTCGCAGTTGTACCTGTTGGGCCCGTCATTGCAGGTGATAGGATTTGCTTACACCGCAGCATTTGCCCTGGAGCTCTTGATGCGGGTCTTCGTGCATGGCTTGGGTGGCTCAGCTGATCTCAGCGGCAATGGCAAGTTGTTGGATCTTGGTTTGTCCACTCAGCCATGGCTGAAAACTACTGATCACCAATCACCAATTGACCACCAAGTTGGATCAAATGGGCTCAAATTAAATGGTTTGATGATGTTTGATGCACATATTGCTGAATTTGTGGGCCCGTTGGTGCGCTAAATTGACCCAATTATACGGGATGGGCACATCTCAGCAGTCAGTTTTCATCCACAAGAGCGCCACAAAGAAGTGGTCTGAGGCATGTTCTGGCGCAAGCAACACGGCAGCAAATTGTGACCTCAAACCACACAGAGGGGCACAGGTCAAATCACGATGAAAACAGGTTTCGACGTGTTTCAATCTTTTTGGGTGCCACCTGTGCCAATATGTCCTCATTGACTTGCTTCATAAGCTCAGTTGCATTTATGATAGTTAAATACAGCGCGAGCGTTATATAAGAATGTTGATTGCCGATGGCCAGGGTCCCTCAATTTCTTATCAGAAAGCCCCATGTATGTCAGTATATATGTACAATTATTCGGTCGAGGGTCCCTTAACTTCTTGGCAATTTCTTAATGTAGTATTTCACAAGCAGTCAGATTTGAAGATGTAAGAGCGGGGTTGCCTCTGCGCAGCTCCTCTCGTGAGTTTGACTCCGCCATCCTTGCGCCACTTCCCAGTGGCCCCTGGGCACACAGGAACAGTTACCGAGTCTCCCCTGCAGAAAACTTTTACAAACCCTTACATGATTAAGAAATTGAGGAGCTGGATTTCTAAGTTATGTATTGAGTTGGCTCCTTACCCGGTGACGTCTCCTCCACGCAAGGCTCTTATAAACCCTGACATGCTTAAGTATTGAGTTGAATCCTTACCCGGTGACGTCTCCTCTGCACAAGGCTCTGATAAACCCTTACATGGTTAAGAAATTGAGGGGCTGGATTTCTCAGTTATGTATTGAGTTGAATCCTTACCCGGTGACGTCTCCTCTACACAAGGCTCTGATAAACCCTTACATGGTTAAGAAATTGAGGGGCTGGATTTCTCGGTTATGTATTGAGTTGACGCCTTACCCGGTGACGTGTCCTCTACACAAGGCTCTTTCAAACCCTGTCATGGTTAAGAAATTGAGTGGCTGGATTTCTTAGTTACGTATTGAACTGAACCCTTACCCCGTGGCAGCAAGGCAGCACAGGCAAGGCAAGGCAAGGCAAGGCAAGGTAAGGCAAGGCAAGGCAAGGCCAAGGGTACAGATGACCTACAGTGTGTCTGGCATGTGTCTGGCTGAAATGGTCGACCCTGGGTTGGTCCTGCCTCCTTGCTTGTCATTCCCAGCCATGCCACGGTTGTGCAAAGTTCATTTTGGCGTGTATTTGGTTGCAAGGGAGGCTGGCTCCATTTCCTGTGCCAAATCGAATCTTTATAAACCATTTCATGGTTAAGAAAATTGGGCAGGGGCGCAAAGGGGCTCCCCCACATACATCTAAATTTCTTAGCCTTTAAAATTCCAGGGCCCTTCAATTTCTTAGCTTCCATTTGCATATATATATATATTTTTTCCACAAAACATATACGCGGCAAAAAAATCCAGCCCCTCATTTTCTTATACAAGGAATTCTTTTACAGTGCTTGGACTGTAGCGTGTACTGCTTCTTGCGCCTGACGCCCTTCCATCATCTTCCGTCCCCCTGTAGCAGCCAACAGTGGCTGAATGCCTGCAGTGGCTGCTGCTGCCGCCACATCCAATCGATAGTATTCTACAATGGTTTAATGGTGAAGATTGGATTTTCCAAATCCATCCTTATTAGATAATTCGCCGCGAATCAAACCTCCTTAGATCACCCGCTAGCGGGGGTGTAGTGAATTGGGAAATTCGGCAAATCAAACGTCCTTAGATCAGATCACTCGCTAGCGGTAGTGAATTGAGAAATTTGGCAAATCAAACTTCCTTAGACCACCCGCTAGCGGTAGTGAATTATGAGTAATTATATGTATCTGTATATATATATTTATATACATAAAGGCTGCGGTGCATTTAAGATAGTTATAGTGATCTAAGCGAGAGCGACAGTCGCACCTCCTTAGAGCACTCGCTAGCGGTAGTGAATGATCTAAGGAATGTTTGAGAATCAACGACCCTTGGATGATCTTGTGTTTTCCCAGGGGAATTAGTGAGAAGAACGCAAGATTGAAGGTGATCCAGTGAACACCACCCTCCTTAGATCACTCGCTAGCGGTAGTGAATGATCTAAGAGCCAGTGCAAATCGCACCTCCTTCGATCACAAACTGTTCTACATGCACCACTGCTATTCGCCGACTCCTCAACTCATTACCGCTAGCGGGTAATCTAAGGAAGTTTGATTTGCCAAGTTTCTCAATTCACTACCGCTAGCGGGTGATCTGAGGAGGTTTGATTCGCCAATTTTCTCACTTCACTACCGCTAGCGAGTTATCTAAGGAGGTTTGATTTTCCAGACTTCTCAATTCACTATCGCTAGCGGGTGATCTAAGGAGGTTTGATTTGTGAATTTTCATGAATTTTCCCCATTCACTAGTGCTAGCGAGTCATCTCAAAAGGTTAGATTTGTCAAACCCAATCTTTACCATAAAGCCATGCTACTTGCACATCCTGCAAAATATTACCAATTGGATGGGAGCAGCAACAGCAGCCACTGCAGCCAATTTTGGCTGCTACATGGGGATGGAAGGGCATCCGGGAAAAGAAGCAGCACACACTATTTAACTATCATCCAATGCAGCTCAGAAACATTCATGAGGCTATGCATAAGGCTCAGTAAGATTTCAGAAATTATCCCGGCAAGAGACCCCACGCAGTGTGGGGGAGTGCGAGGATAATGTATGATCATGTTGATGCTGGTGATGATGATGATGATGATGAGGAGGAGGATAATAATGTTCCGGACGGTGATGTTGAGGATGATGAGGTGCATGAGGATGATGTTGAGGACGCTCAGGTTGAGGTTGCTCAGGTTCTGGATGCTCAGGTGGAGGATGATGATGTTGAGGAGGATGAGGATGAGGATGATAATGCGGAAGATGAAGTGGAGGATGATAAGGTGGATGATGATGATGTTGAGAAGGAGGATGACGATGATGTTGAGGATGATAGTGTTGAGGAGGAGGATGCAAAGGATGATAATGTTGTTGTTGCGGAAGATGAGGTGAAGGTTGATGATGTTGAGGATGATGAGGTCAAGGAGGAGGAAGATGATGATGTTGAGAATGATGATGTTGAGGAGGAGGAGGAGGAAGATGATGATGTTAAGGATGATGATGTTGAGGAGGAGGACAGATCCCATGACCGGGACCCACACTTTGTGCGAGCCTGCGTGGTCGAAATGCTCGTGAACATTTCACAAGAGCCACTACGTGCGAAAAATTACAGGTAAAATGCCGCAGACCAAGGCTGCGGACCACACTTTGTGCAAGCCTACGCAGTCGAAACGCACTTGGACAATGAACAAGAGCCATTTGGAAAATGCGCAAGACTTTTCAGCAAAAATGCCGGGGCCCATGATCGTGACCCACACTTCGTGCAAGCCTGCGCAGTCGAAACGCACTTGTACATTTACATGTCACAAGACCCGCTTTATGCATCTTTATGTGAGAATTCACAGGTAAAATGCCGCAGACCAAGACAACGACACAGACTTGTGCCAGCCTGCGCAGTTGAAATGCATTTCAGCTTGCACAAAAGCCATTTTGCAATTTAGTTTTCCCACAATTTCCCACAATTTACCCGTAATCTCCGGTAACCGCCTTTCTGAAAAAAACGAGATAAAACGAGTTATTTTGAAAAACTTGCTTTTTCCTGGCCATTTGGGAGAGGTGGGTTTCGGAGGCTGCAGGATAAGCGTCTACAAGTACATAGAATATAAATGAATATAGAATTGACTTTTTTGATATTTTTTTGGTCACTTTGGAACATTTTTCAATAATTGATCACAATCGTATACATAGAATATTCTGATAGTTACATTAAAAAAATGCACTTCCGGGCAGGTTTAAAAAAACGTGGCACTAAAATTACCAAAATTCACTCGGACTCTACCCCCTAAAGATACTAAAAATATTCTATCTATGTATATACAACTTTTTTCGAACCACTTCGGGAATAGAATTCTGGTCATATGTGCTTGTGGGTGCTAGCATCTACAAGTACATAGAGCCTACAAGTACATAGAATATGGAATTGATTTTTTGGTCGATTTGGAACATCTTCGGGAATTTAAAAAAGAACGTATACATAGAATATTCCACTAAGCATAGAATATTTCTTCAATTCCGGGAAGATGAAAAAACACATGGTACTAAAATTATCTAAAATTCACGCGGGCTCGATCCCCTAAAGATTTGTTTTGAACATATTCAATGTACACAAATTTTCCGAACCACTGTGGGAATTGAATTCTGGTACTTTCTATGTCTTGTAGATGCTTATCTAAATACGTATATATATATATTATATATATATACATATTGGAATACACATAAGACCTTCCTACAGGTACAATAATCACTCGTTCATTATACATACATGATCATTTTTGGTTTTATACAGTTGCTAGAATTTTCCTCATCCGTTAGAGTCACCTTTTGGTCTATGGAATGTTGCAGTTGGGAACCATGTATCTCCCGCCTATCACACAAAATACAGCTTCACGTCACGCGCAGAGCACAATTCGAGCGATTCGTTTTCTTGTCACAAGTTCGCAACGTTTTTGCATGGCGGAGGGAGCAACCAGCTAAGGTCTGAAAACGTTTCTGGCGATTTTGTAAAGTAAGGATCGTTTTGGTGCATGAGTATGCAAGGAGATAACGTCATGACTGATCATGAACATCCGTAGAAATCGAATCAATAGCATCACGGGTTTTGCAGTTACGCATCACGGACATGGTCCAACACTCGCTCCATCGCAAGGCAGTACTTGTGGAATCTCCTAGACCTTTTCGTTGTGCTGGTTTCTTTGCCGCGCCCTGAGTTATCCGTTGACATTTTTGACACTTGCGACTCGCGGGCGCAATGGCGAGGATGGTGTGATGTCATGGGCCTTCGTTTGACTGCATGTGTGGCAAAATTTTTCTCCTGGGGTTACCATTGAAGGCCTTATGGTTGCATTTACATGTGCAGGTCGCATTTGTAGAAGGCAACTCATGATGCGGCCACGTTGTGAGGTGGGAAGTGATTGTGCTGGCTGCTTGGCTCAGCAGACACACGGGGTGGCATAGATGTGGCATGACCATGCGCTTCCCTCCCAGATCCTCATGAGATCCTCCAAACCAGTATTCGACCAGTATCAAAACATATCAGATTTTTCAAGACATGTCGAGACACTTGAGTCAAAAGCACCACGACCATCACAACCCAACAGGCACTGGAGCTAGGAGGACATCCCCCCACACACACATCAGCAGTATTTGAATGTATTTGATCCATTTGAGAACCTTCGCATGCACCGTCGTGTACCGTTGAGTATTAAAGAAATTTACTTTTTGTTTTAGCGAAGTCGGAAACGCAAAGGATTCCGAAAGAAGAGATGGCATGATGGAGAAATGTTTGTTTGCTGGCTAGGCGGTTTTGTCAACTGAATTTGGCACCATTTTCACACCCTACCCTTGGTCCATCTTGATCCACCAGCAACGCAGGCCTTAAAATCGTTTAATCTGCAGAGTAATTGCAGATGTTTGCAGTGTTTGCACCCTTTTCCATGGACTCTGGATGTGCTATACTCTTGTGCGTTTGCTTTGCCTTGGGTGACGTTAAACATTAGCAAATTCATTTCCTAATGCTGTCAAGGTTGGGTTCGCGCATCGTAGGTCCTGGAAGCACTTGTCAAAGACCTTTCGCTGAATGCTGGCATTGGCGTCATTAGTTCTCTGCGCATTGTCCGGATCCTGCGAATCACCCGCTTGAGCCTTCGGATATTTTGAATGGAATGGATTACGGATGAATGGGGTTGGGGTTTGGTGAATTTGCTAAAGAAACTGAAGGGGATTCACTGGATTTCACCGGGCAAATTTGCTTGACATCCTTCGGACTCTGGGAATCTGTGGGTGTTGCTCGTCATCCGTGGCCTAGGATTCGCAACAGCGGCTCCACCCCGGGACGAGCCATGAAATTTTTGAGGGCGCTTAGGACACTGATCCATTC